AAAAAAGAAGAGAGCAAATTTCAATTGATGACTCAAGGATGACCCATGCAATATCTCTCGGAATACTAGGCAGGTATTTAATTGAAAGGAAATAAAGCTAAAAAACATTGTCTTTTCAAGGATCACAAGAGCAAGAAGTGGCTGCAAGAACAAGCAGATCAAGACTATCCATTTGCATAAGATGTCAAAATGAGAATAAAACTTTAAAAATATTTTGGCTAGCTTTGTTTCCAGCAAAAATAGATATGGATGGGACTAGAGAATTGTGTCATAGAAATGCTGTAATGAAATTCCTACAACTGTAGGGAGTAAAAGAGGATTATTTGTATGATTGCCATGTACATGTAAATGGCTTGGCTCATTAGACAAAGTTTAGTAGAGCAGTGTCCGAATTCTACATAAACCCATCAATTTTGAAAAAGGTCAATCAAATTTAAGTGGGATTGCTCAAACTTTTTTTCCCTCTCTATCACTTCACCATCACACCTGTCTATGGGATCAACTGCTCTATATATTGGGCCATATATCATCGCCTAATGCCTTCCCAATCAATCAATGAACATGTCCTTTAACTGGTCACTCCAGTAAAAACAATCGGCAGCTAATTCTGGCAGTCAATCAATTTCCTTGACCAGGGCAAGTGCCAGTGGAGCTGGATGGCTCATAAAACTATATGAGCCGTTGTTGGACCTACAGGCTACAACAGATAAGTAGAAACAGATAGGCATACAGATAGAGGCCTTAGTTTGAAGTGATAATTGGGCCATAATTGAAAGGCAAGATTACCTAGCAAGATACCCTTTACTGTTCTGAACGACAAGTTACAATTCTGATCAGTAAAAGTGGGAACAGGGGGTTAGGATTCCACACTTTTAGACCAATATTGAAATCATCAAAGGAAGTAGTAGGCATTACAGGAAATCCTGAGTGTTTTCTTTCCATTTTAAAGGGCCATGCATGTACAGTCGTGGCATGCTTTGTAGGTCAAAACAAAAAATGAAAAGTGCAATCATATCTGTCTTTGACATTGCGATACTGACAAATAATATTCCATTAACAGCTACTTAAAATGTACAGTGTAAGCAATATGTAGAATGAAGTTAGAAAGAAAATTGTTGAATAACAACGATATTTAGATCATACATGTAATATGAATCACAAGAGATTGAGATGATCTGGCATTTCTCCTTTGAATTGAAATATGATAAAATTAGTTTTAGTTCTAACCAAACCCATACAAAAAGTTGTACGGGGTGTTGATCAAATAATCTTGTCCTTCTTAATTCCGACCATTCCTCAATCTATCACATAACATTTTCATGCAATAATTTTTTCCTGCTCCTTACCATAGCTCAGCATAATATATGAATCCCTCACCTCATACCCCGAGATGACTGTAACAGGCACTATGCCACATAAATCACTAATGAACCTAAAAAACATCTGGAATGATGGGGAAAAATTGCAGATATGTTTGCACCATCATCATCAGGCATCACCTCAATCTACGTGGAGATATGCTTGCGTAATTGCATGATTTGGATTTTTATGAGCGTTTCTACAAGCTTGTGTGGCTATGTATGAAAGACTGCATCATAACACATAAGTTATATACACTGTATGTTCTTTCTATCGTGTCATATGACTAGAAACAAAAGGCAAATTGAGTGGGCATGATGAGCTCTTGCATACACACACGTTCTTCTACTGACCTACATGTACATACAATATATTTAAGTATGAGTTGTGGTAAAAAGATTTAGAATAGTAATATATTTTGGATTCAAAGGTACAAATAAAGGAATTACATGTTCTCATTTAAATCTTAAATCTTAAAACATTATTTAGGCCTCTAAATAAAACTTATAGATTCATTTATCAAAACTGATAAATGTCCCATACTCATTTTGCTCTCACCTAATAGTAAAAAAACCCAAAAAACCTTGTAATACCAACTTCTCAAGAGATCCCCCCCCCCCCCGGTCCCTCCCCAACATGAAAATATAGGCCTGTATTCTCTGTGGATAAAGTATTATGAACTAAAATGTAAAGCCTTATGATATAAAAAGCAGTAACTAATAATTAATTTTCCTCAAATAAATAACAAACATTTTCTATTTTCAAATTGAAAGAACATCATGAAAGATAAAAGAAACCTGTTTTTTCCAGTTAAAATGGATTGACTCCTTAACCCCAAGACTGTAGCAGCTCTACAGCTCGCTCATCTAATGAATTCAATTATAACTGCCAAAGCTCTGATAGTGAGGGGCAAGTTGTGAATATTGAATTAGTGTATACTTAGCACAGACATTCAACGACTAAATGCTTAGCATATCTCCTTGCTTGTAACAACCACAGCTACAATATAAACCTCTTCCAGTGTCAAGGCCAGGCCGTTTCTGGAGGTAATATGATTTACTAGTGAGGGTGGGGGAGGGGGGGGGGGAGGTTAGTCTTGGGAAGAAAGTATCTGTGAGTGTTTATACATGTTGTTTGGTAGTGCCATAGCGGGTCAATGGTAGAGCGTCCATGGTTAGTAGTCAATAGATCAAGACCATGACCTAGCCTACTTTGAAGATTTTCAGATTATGCTGGATAGCTTTAATATGAGAAGTTTAGTATCTTATAGACCGTGCATACTTTGTGTAAGGTATCCCCTTTAAAGCTACACGCCTGTCTCCCATTCTTAATGGGTTTCTAATGCTGTCAACAAAACTGAAATATACCAAATCTGGAAAAGGGAAATTATTACCTGGATGAGAAAGGGGGGGGGGGGGGGGTAAAGCCTACCTTCTCCAGACACCATACAGTGTAGATTACAACACAGTTTCATTTCAGCAGGTGGTCCAAGTGCAAACAATAGGCCTGCTATATGGTGTCCCAAACAACGTAAACATCCAAATGTGTATTGACTATGGGCGCGTTCATGCTTGATTTTGAAGGCAGAATGAGCGATTTGTAACGCTCATCGTAAACGCTCATCGTAATCGCAGTTCCACGGTGCACTGTTGATGCTCACTTCTCCAGGCAATTCTCCTTGGGTGGCCTTCTACTGGATTCGCAAACCTGTGTGCGCATGCTACGTAGACCCACTTTTTACCCGTTTTTCGGTGATTCTACAAAAGTGAGCATGAACGCAATCGTGTTTTAAACTAAACGCGTAACAGATGCCTGATTCTGGCCGTCAAAATCAAGCATGAACGCGCCCTATGTGTTGCGAACTCAGCAATGTACTGTGCAGGTAGGTGGTGGAAGGGGGCAAGTGGTATTAACCTTGGCTCATGTTACTTCAAGAAAAGCCTCGTCTTATAAACCTTTACTCTCAAAACGTAGAACAACTCACATTTTCACGACTCACATTTTGTACTACATTTCATAAATCACAGTCAACACTTTCTTACTCTGTGCCTAGTAAACTAAAGGTTGCTTTACCTGTACATAAAGATAAGTGTGTGCGTGTGGGGGGGGGGGGGGGTTCAACACAAGTTTCCTAGAAGCAACTTCTCTCTCTCACAAAAGCAGTATTCCACTGGAAAATTGAAACAGAAGTAGAACATTAAAAAAAAACTCTTTAGAATAATGAGCCACTTCCTCGCTTCTCAAGACAAATAATATGGCAGACAGAACAAAAAATAGAGAAAACATACATCTATAAGTGTATCTATACCACAAGAGAGAAATTATCAAGGGGAAGTTATTTGGACAGACCCTCACAAATTGGTAAGTCAATAATTTTGAAAGCATCGGGTAATTATCTCCACGAACGGACCGGCCACAGGCAGGCCATATTGATTTGTTCTCTTGTTTCAGGGACTGGGTTATATTTCCACGCATCACAAGCAGTCCTCCTGTAGAGTGATCTTTGAGTGATCGAGGCTCTTTGTTCTATATGCATGACCATATAAAATAAAATATGATTATGAATATGTACATTCATTTGAAGAATGTTATTCATTTCTTGAGCAAAGTCATCCGCCGGGAGCCAAAAAGGGATTGACTCGTCGTTTAAGGAAATGGGTTTATGCCTGCTAGTGCTACTGGACCCCCCCTCCCCCCCTCCCCCCCTCCCCCCCCCCAAAAAAAAAAAAGAAAGAAGGAATTCCTTCATGCTGTTTATGTGAAGATCAAGCACTCAAACATTGATCTACTAATGAAATAAATCAATTGGATGAGTACAATTTCACAGACAGAAACTGTTTTCTAAGGCATTAATGACCTACTACATCAACTGTGAAGTGGTTTTCATGACTAAACCACTACAGGGTACGATGATCATATCATGCCATGCCTGCTCATTTCGAAGCTAATATTCAGCAGACCCTAATCACTCTTGACATTTTGCTCCGCTCCAGGATTAAAATGATATCCCGATGGCGAATCAACCATCATCATCCTCTCTATTGATGTATGGTTTCCTCTCAGAAGGTTTTTTTCAGGAACTGGGTCTGACTAAATACATTATGCAATGCCGACGGTGCGTTGAAAGCCAATGGAAAAGAAATTTCAAGAGAAAGAAAATGTTTGGAGAATTGTTTCTACCTATTCTCTGTTGTTGATAATGGAATGAATGGGCAATAAATGCGATTTTTCGAACAAGGAATATGAAAATGAAACTAACAGAATATCGCAGAGAAACCATCGTTAAAGACATTAAAGTGATATAATAGTTAGTCCAACAATATACTAGTCCCACTATTATCTTACCCATTGTAAGAGAAGTCTGACATTGCTGCTATTAAGATGCAATGAAGATGCTCCAATTGAACTTTTTAATTTCAGAAAGGCAAGCTGTTTAAGATGGACACTTCCTCACTTTTTCAAACAATCGTTTTTGAAGCTCAAAACCAAGAAAGACAGTACTTTCTTAAAACAAAATGAAAGGGGAGAATAAATCAATTTCCGGAAAAGAATGATATGCGACAGAGAAACTGATAGCTCAACTTCAATCTTTAACTAATCTCTTTCTGGTTCAAGTATCGCTTCTTGTGTGAATGACGTACCTGGCATTGAGGCTACACTCGATGTCTCGACCCCTTTCAAACCCGCAGCTGGGGCTGGAGGAAAGGCAGGAGGGGGCTTGATATCAGGAAACTCCTCAACAGAGCCCCCATTCACACCTGAAAGGATAATAATCAACAAATAAAGCATAATTTGGTAGTGTTTGGTCATGGATGAAGGGCAGATGGTTGGAAATAATCCTCATAACTCCCACTCACACCTAAATGAATATGATATATAATTTGGTACTGATCATTCATGGCCGAAATTACACTTGATTCACAACATATTTGACCACAGAAATCCAAGAGGGAAAATCAGCACAATAATGAGGGTCTTTTTAAAAGTTGAATAAAGCTGATGTTATAATATTTAGTTTTAGATTACCGGTAATGAAAACAATGCAAATATTGAAGCTAATCTGATTTGGAAAGAATTCAGTTTTCTTTTGGCAATGTAGCAAACAATAAGTGCAATTGACTGTAGATGCGAAGGTCGAGGGTTGGAATCCCGACATGGCATTAATATCCTTTGGCAAGATATTAACCTGCACTTCCTAATCTCCACCAAGCCGTTAAATGGGTAATCGGTAGGATGCGACCGTCATTGTTGGTCAAACAGTTTTTGAGCGTCATGTAACGCCTGGCTGGAATGCTCCCCAGGGAGTGGAGATTGTGCACACATTGTCTGCGGGCAAGCACTGAATCCAATGACCGGGGTAATAGTATATTTGTAAAGTGCTTAAAGACATTTGTATTAAGCGCTATATAAAAGCTAAATATTTATTATTATTAGTTACCAGCTGAACATATTGACAACGACGTCCTTAATTTCGTTCATCTCTTTGCAATCAACATGGTACTTTCTCTCAAACTAATTTAGAAGTATATGCACCTTGAATATGGTTTGGTAATATCCAAAAACATAATTAGATTGACCACCAGAAATTTTATTTAAAAAAAAGTATTTTGAGCTTGATGTCATTCAACACAGGGTACATGGATTATGTGGGAAGCAGGGACTCCTTGGTTTATCTATTAAAAAAAAACATTTTAAATAGAGAGGTGAAGGGGTGAGGGTGGATTTGTTTGCAACCTCTTTATTGGGGGGGGGGGGCTTATTCCCTTATCATGTTGTTCATCATTTTGCTTATCATACGTATGAGCCCAAATTTTGGGGCAAAATACTAAAATCTTGCATGACTCGTGCAAAATGGCCTCCCTTCTCCCATATATAACATTTGTTTTCAAGGTGCCAGTGCGTGTAGCGCTTATTTCATCGAGGACTTGTGTTCTTAATTAAATCTTTATACAGTCTTTAATATGAAACATGATACCTTTGTAACGTTCTACATAATTCATAAACTGTACTCTCTGCAGATCTCTTTTCTCCAGCTCTATCTAATGATGCAGTCCATGTTCCCCCTGGTAATTAAATACACCATGTGATCTATTGAGTGCAAGAAGGCCCTTACTACTACACTCTGACATGGAGTCAACGTCCTTCTAACCCTCAACAGACGATGCATACTGTGGTCTCTGAGGGGTTCTGTCCATACCTTTAATGTCACTTGCACTTGAAGTAGACGATGACCTTTGCGGGAGATCCTTGGGCTTTGGGGGCGGGGTGGGTGGACGTTCCTCCTCCTTAGGTACAATTTGTCTTGCCTTTCCTGCAGAAGATGACAAATGGACATACATGGATTGAATCTTGGGAGAGATGAAGAGTACACCTGTCTATGTGATATCAATTGATGGAAAAGAAAATGGACGAGTGCAATCTGCGAGTATAACTCATTCTTGCATTACCTGGCAATTCAAGATCAGGATTGGGAAATGGTACAGGTATGCAGGAGATATGGACAAGGCATAAGATAATGGAGAGCGCAAGCGTACATAGAATAATAGAGTGAAGTAAGAAAGTGTTGTCTCATCCCCATGTTTGTTGGCGGGAAAAGGTTAAATATATATGGTGAGAAATACTGCACAGGTATACAGATATATATCAGAATATGAATAAATCTTATTTAGACTGGTAAAAATAAATTCAATTTAAGATAGCTAGATAATATACTTTCGGTGAAAAAATTGATACATCACAAGATAAAGGTTGGATTAAAGCTATCATTATTTGGAAATATGAATTATGCCTCATACTGTAAAGACAAAGCAATAAAAAAAATCTCACAAAAGTACAATATTACCATTACATTTTTTGCTACTGAAACAGAATATATATTTATTCTAGCCATCATATAGGGTTTGGGGGGTAAAAAAGGAATGGTTTGGTAATTAGGTAGTGGTATAATAATGCTCATAATCTTTCACTTCCATTTCGGTTAATCTTCATTCCAAATCTCTTTCAATGCCTATTTACTATCAATGTCAGATATAAATGACTTCCTATCAAACACAATGTATGCAAACTAAAGCTCTGTATACCCATCTCTCAGACCCAAAACGGTTGTGCATATCAAATGTACCTGGGGCAACGAAATATGAATGCTATTCCCTCGTTTACCAACAATGGCAATTTTAACCGCTGAATATTCAATCAGGCTGTGCTAATGGGGTAGGTCAATGGCCTGCAAGCTCGGCTGTATACTCACTGTAAACACCATGTTTCACAGCTAAGCACGCATCTACACATCCACACCAATCCTATACTTGTGCAATTTACATCTATATATATATATATATATATATATATATATATATATAGCAGAGTGGTTCTTACTATGAATTTTGAAAATATTGATAATAAATCTAGTTCTCTTTTAAATTTTGCAAATAATGATAATACATTTTGCAAAAATTAATAATAAAAATGTTAACAAAAATAATAATAACAATAACAACATTAATAGTAATAAAACTAATAATAATAAGAAAAAATTCCATGATTTGATTAATCAATGACTAAAGGGGGATCAATGTTAGGTGCCATGCTTAAAATACACTTGAATAATAAAGTGATTAGATCAATTAATTACCGGTACAGGGATTTAATGTTTGCCTAGATAAGTCTAAAACTGAAACAGTCATTCAAATTTTACAGGCTTTTATACCTGGAAAACATTGGTTTCTGATAAAATGATAAGGTATGGATTCATGAGCAAGAGTTATACTTATCATACGACTTGGGGGTGGGGTAATCTACATCTAGGCTCATGTCCTAAATACAAATTAAACGTGGGTTTAATGAGATGCAAAATGCACTACCACTGTTCAGCTGAGCCCTCACACAGGCTATTTTCAGCATTTGACTTGATCCTTCACGAGCATTTTGAGTGATGTGAACAGGCCCATCTTTGCACTGACAAATGCACTTGGGAGCTACTACATTCTTCTTTGATGTACAGCATAAAGCAGAGGAGATTTACAGCCATACCATGCATTTTTTGAAGCTGTAATTTCACCAAACATGGGAAATGGAATGGCGGATTTCCATCTTTAATGATGATTATTCCCTGCGAATGGAATTATGACGACTTACAAATAGGTATAAATAGCAGTATAGGTCTATTGGCCTCTATGATTCTGCTCAAAGGCATGGGCCAAGTTTATTTGAATGGAAAGAAAGTATTCATTCATACAGTATAGTTTCATATCCTGTTTATATTTCTAAACGTACATTAGCAAGCAGTTCTAGTCCATGTACCAGCTTGATCATTTAAAGTATGCTGTTGGTTATGGCATAAAGAAGTGCGTCTCGAAATTAAGAGAGAAACTCACAAGTCACAAATATGTTGTGGCTACACCTATGTCATAGTTGGCCTACAGTACATATACAGAAAAGACACAGGCTAAGATGCATACATACATGTATATAATGTAAGTGTATGTGAAGCGACCAAAGAAATGGAAAAACCATGAAACATGTAGGCCTACTTATTAAGCAATAGTATCAGTAACATTTCTAGAAAAAGAAAAAGGCTTTTCACAGTCTTTCATATCCTCATGAAATATGTTCTTTGTCTTTAATGTCATATCATGCCTTATGGAGATGGGTATATCCTTCCAGGAGTTTTGTCTTAACTCTTATCCAAGACTGGTCAGGAGAGAATCTCAGTCCATCTATACTTACAATCCCTCTCCTGTTCACTTTGCATGCAACAGAATGTGATACGAGTAGGCCGGTATGTTGACACAGATCTCCTTACTTCAATTGGATCTTCAGAACTCCAATTTGTAGTTATTAGTTTAAATGCTGCTCCAACTGAAATGTGACGATTGATGGTCTTAGGTACCCGAAGGACCTTGTTTTCACTTCATTCCTACAATCAATCAGTCTGGATCGAGACTGGAGAGCATAAGGTCTGCTACAGTATCAATGTGTAGACACCTACATTCAGTTTAGATTCATTGTGGAAGAAAATATTTTTAAAATTAGAAATATCTAAAGAAGCAGACCCGTAACATTTTGTATACACTCTTATATTTTTGTTTGATGTTCTGCAAATACTTGCATGTCATTTGTATTTTGTTCAAATATGAGCTGCAATACATGTATTTAGTAGTCAAAATAAAATGAACTTGAATATGGCTCGGGTGTGGCTGGGTTACAATCCTCCCAAAAATGTTTGAGAATAAATGCCTTTGACTTTGTCTATGACATCATTTTGCAATTTTTTTTTGTTCTTTATAAAGTTGATGGGAAATTGATTGTATTGATTTCCGCTGAATCTCTGAAGTCTGTCAACTTCAAATATTGATATTTCTGACTTTTGTTTTTTCATATGTTTGATAAAGGAGCTTGACAAGGGAGACAAAAATCTTAAATGAAATCAATGGAATGACTGCAAATATGAAGAGTTGAAGACAAGTCAAATGTCCACAAATCTGTGTGAAATTAATGCAAAAACTAACAAAGCTACAAGACAGAATTAACAGCATTTTCATGAGAATGCCCATCTCTACATTTTCTCTGTTTAAGAACCGTTATGATAAAATGAAAGAAGTGTTAATCGTGACATTTATCAACAAAACAAGGGATCTTCTCAACAACCAAACAAGTCATTAATCAATGCGTTTATACTTTATATAATAAAAATGTCCCTGTAGATAATTCTTCACAATACAGAAACAAAAATCATTATTTATTCATCTTTGTGGATGTGAAGATTGGCAAGCGAGACAGAAAACCTAAAGCAAAACAAGGGATCACAACAACCAAACAAGTCATTAATCAATTTGCTCATAATTTATATAATAAAATGTCCCATGTAGATAATTCTTTCGAACATAGAAACAGAAATCATTATTTGTTCATCTTTGTGGATGTGAAGAGTGACAAGGGAGACAGGAAACCTTAGAAAGCAAATCAAGGGTACCAATATGAAAGTGAATGCAACAAGTCACCACTAAGATGCCAAAATACATGTCAACCAATATGTGTGAGATTAATTTTGAAAACCGTCAAAGGCACAATTTACATGTAGAAGTCGCCTACATGTACATTTAGCATTAGAAGCTCTGTAATGAAAATACTAATGCTTCTTATTAGTCATTCCTATGTCAGAAACTAAAAGATTTTTTCACATGAAACTGAAAGTTTCTATTTGGATAATTATCAACGAAAGTGAGGGATATCTTTATTATAAACATATAATTCATTCCTCGCTTCCTATAAAGAAACATCTATCCACAAAGTCCTTGCCACACTCAGACAAAAAGCTCAGACATATGGCTTGTTTGATCATAATATTGCACAACAAAATCCTAAGCTGTTATCTTTTTATCTGAGAAGCAGATTCATTAGTCTGTCTTCCGTTCAATAGGTTTGTCCATGTACATGTATGAAGCATGCATTAATCTTTACCATGTAAACACAAATGGCTGACAGTATAACTCCCTAAGGTCCATAATGGATTTAACCTCAGTATAAATTACTTTGCTCTCCATCCATTCAACAAATTGCTACAAGTCTATTGAGTTTCCTCTGAAACCATACACCACCACATCCATGTGGCATGTTTAGTATGCATTTGGGTTAGAAGACTTAGGAAAATGTATCAATCTGTCCACAAACTGAAGGATGAGATATTGATTTTAATTTTGAATCTTGTGTGAGTCATCCATTGGCGGTGTAACATGAGGCCAAAGAGCATGTTTGCATTGACATGCTGTTCTATGGGTTCACGTCTTTACCAATGACCGTTGGCCCCGGGAATGGAGGATAAATGTAACAAAAGGGGACTTCCGAGCAGGCAAGGTGGGACTTACCACAATGGACGTGTGTATATTTGCATGCCAGTTCGGGATGAAATCCTGCACTGGTGCGAACTGTGCAATTAGTATACACGCAACTGCACTGAGAGAGCAAATCTATGCATGTCACAAGCGCATGATTTGTGTTTTAATGTACTGAATTTGACGCATTTTACACTGTGAGAAAATGAGTACATTTATGATGTATTTAAAGATATGCTTTGATATTATTATACATGGATAAGTATGGACATGATATCGAGTCCAACCCCATATTCTCCTTTGTCACATTTCCTCAATATATATAATAATATGGTTATCTATAATATTAGGTTCTGATGCTCATGGCGCTTTATATATATATATATATATTAAAGGTTTATTCCCTGTATGCTGGCCAGATCGATAATGATACGTACATGAAATTGTGTTTACTTTCCATAAATAAAATGCATGCGTTCAG